ACGTGAAATTTGATAAATTAGATTATTTTGCTTAATTGCTTCTATCGGATCCTTAAACGAGCCAACAAAAGCCTATCTCTGAGTGAGTTTGTAGGTTTAAATGCTACCTTAATCCCCGTTTTGTTGAGAATCGTGCGTAAATTTTCAATGTGCCTTCTTTATATTGCAACACAGTAGAGGCTTTGAAACCTTTTCTATTTGTGATAAAGTGACAGACCCAAATAAGATCACTAAATCAGATGCGATGCATCCGTTAACACACAATCACACAGTGGAATGAGATAAAACCACTGTGCGTAAGTCCAATGTAATTAGGTGGAGAGAGACAGAGAGATTGGTTACTGAATCTTTGCTCATGGGACCAAAGCCCAACACAACCAACAGGAATGACGCAAGATATGAAAAATTTTACTACCAATAAAAACAACAAAGAATACGAGGTGATAGGATGATAAAAACCGGTTGTTGAAAGTTATGTGATTACACTGACATGATTATGAGCAATGATAATTCCTGCTCGAAATGTCATCAAGTAAATAATACTGTATTATTAGGTGTTGTAAATCAAATAAACAAATCGATTCAATTCTACCATGGTGACCAAGTTTTACACCTATAGGCTTAGAGCTTGAAGTATTTTTTAAACTGCAGTTCTACTGAAGTAATAATGCTGATGATAATCAACGTCTTCCACACCATATAACCATATTATCGCTGTAAAGAACTAAACCTTGAAAAAAGGTGCATGTCTCATAGTTCCTGCTGCGATTCATTCTAATTTATAATCCTTATGTGAACGAATGAATAAAGTAATACTGAGGTATTTTCAAAGTTTCTCAAAGGTAGACTCCAGTGACAATTACCTTATCCTTCTGAGAGGCGAGAAATAGCTAAAGATATTTAGGGTCATCAGATTTCAGATGAAATTTCGAGGAATTCTGGTGCCTACGTGTGCAAGCACTTGATTGTACAATTTCATAATACTAACAGTGGCAAGCTTCCAGTACCTGGAGAAGGCGGTATTGTCTCTACTTTGTCACGCCTAGCTAGAAAACTATCTTTAATCTAGTAGTTTACACAAACTCACAGTTAAATTTCATTCAAGTAGTAATGACAGACTGAGATTCCTTACAGTTCTAATGCGCGTTCGTGAAATATCGGGCCAACTAGGTCAGGAGTGAGACATACGCTCACCGATGCCGTTGATTGATGGTTGTGCTACATCACATATTGACAAAAGGCAGAAACATTGAACCGTTGGACTCCAAGCCAGTGACTTAGTGGTAAGCCACCCTCTGAGGTAGCTGATAATCCTGGGATCGATTACGTATATGATCGTAGGAAGCGAACTTCTAATAATTTGAAACCAAGACAAAATAGCTATCCAGCACTTCCTGCTTTTCAATTGTTCTCTAGCTAACTTCAATCCACGGTAATAACTGCCTTAAAACCAGTGGCTCATAATAAACCTTGATTTGATTTACAACAAACGATAGATTATTCTGTTGTTATCCTGCTATTGAGGAACTGAGTAACAAGTGAACTACACGCCAATTTTTACTGGAAAAATAAAGAAATCAGTTTACAATCATAAGGTCACAATTAAATAATGTGAATGAAAATCCATCAATCCACTTATGTCCTGCAGTAAACTGAAGGCGCTGCTTAAGTGTTATTAGATGAACTTCTTTTATTACAAGGTTCCTTCAACTTCAAGCTGCATGATGTTTTAGACTTATTAAAGTTTTATTTTCATCAGAGTACAATCAGTTACTTTAAAAAATTGATCTAATATATAATAATTAAGATTTCCAACCGTGTGCATCTATTCATCAGTTGTTAAAGAAGATTATTTAGGCTAAAAATGAAACAAAATAAGAAATGAAAGGATATACAGCAAGGCAGTTGTTCTGGTTACTTGTTAGAACAAATATTGTTTCGATAAAAATGCTTTACTTTTAATATCCAATGGATTATTTCTCGTACTTGGCAAGGTGTTATGCAAGCCTTTAAAAATATTTACTGTAAAAATTGTAAAATAGTCTCATCGTGTCATAGTTGTATTTTTATTTAGCCGTTGATTAATTTTTTTTTCATTATCGTCTCCTTAACTGACGATTAAGCAAAGACTAGATGTACGCTTGACAAAACACCTCTTGATTCCCTTTGTATGTCCAGAAGAACGGCTACAAGTGAAATATTAATAAAAAAGGGAACTAACTGTTCATGATTTCGTAGTTTGTAGTTGGATACAATCCTTGCTAAGTGTCATACATTATTTCAAATTGAAATAAATGTGAAGTTTTTAAGCATCAAGGCTATAATTGTTACGAATTTCCTGAAAGACGTTGAGCACGGAGTCAAGTTGATTTATTATATAGGTAAGTTTTAATGTAATCCCAGCGTGTTTAGAAGATCGAAAAGAAGATTGTCTTAAACGTTTCACAGTGCATACTACAGCTTCTTCAGCAGAATATTCAGATTTATGTTCAGTATCAATACTGAATATCAGATGGCTAGAATAATAAAAATAAGTAACAAAGAACTCTGGGAACGAACCAACCAACAACCTATCACCCAACAAATATGCAGAAGAAGGAAGTGGAGATGGGTTAGATTGGGCACACACTAAGAAGGCCCATTGGGTACATCATATATCAGGCCAGACCATCGAGTGGAATCCAGAGTGGAAACGACGAGTTGGGTGTCCAAGGGTGACATGGAGGAGATGATGTGAGGAAGAAATGAAAGTTTGTGGTCAGTCGTAGTGATAGGTTGAAAAGACTGCAGAGAACAGAGTGAAATGAAGGCATGCTACTGAAGCGGTATGTTCCACTAGGAACCCAAGGGAAAAATAATAATGATAATGTAATCAAAATATATATTGTCAAAGGCTATATGTGTGAATTTCTGTCTTTATGCCATTGGTTAACTGTTTTGTTGTTCAGACGTATTGTTTCCAGTTAGTCATTGTAAATTCATACAGTCTTTGTCATTTGTCACGAAAAAATAATTCAATAATCAACGTATATGTGCATGTAATACATGTAAATTTCTATGGAAAATGTATATGTCATTCGTTGTTCAACGTATATAAATAAAAATATACAGAAACTATTTTTATGCACGTATAATCATTGATCCATTTGTTTGTGGATTGCAGAAGAATCCAGAATCGTTCTATTTAGGACTTATCAGTTGGATGTACATGCACCTCTAACAAATCAATTCCTTCCTTTCTGTTTAAAGGATATGTTGACGCTAAAATATACATGGCTTTTGAGGTCAATCTTTGTTTATGTGTAAGAAAATCCTTTCTGAATATGTCAAAGTTGTCAAAATCAATTTTGTGTTCACTTTCACTGACATCCATTGATATTGCTAACCTCTTCTTCAAACTTTTCATTTCCATATCATTCATCGGTAGGTGTTTGCAACATAATCTATTTTCATTAGCTCTAACTTTCAGATGTCTACAACTTTCACATTCTGTACATTTTATCTTATACATACAGTTATTTCGTGTCATCTTTAGAATTATATCTTCCAATTTGACTAAGGCTTTCGTCAAAGAATTTGAAAGTTTGAAATATACTTTGGTATCACACTTACCACAAACTCTTTGCATTTTGTTCTAAAGTACCTTTCCTGTATGAAATTATCATTGGTGATATCTACAGCTCCTCAGTCTTACTTCTATTATCTGTTTCCTTTTTACCATTCTTCTTGATAATATTGTTCAGAAAAGGCTTTAGATAGTCACTTTCTATTCATACTTATTTTTATTTCGGAAATTTCACTTTTTTTATCCTCCGGATCTGTCATAATGTTTTTAGCCCTACTTAGTAGGCTCTAAGCTACTGTGATTTTTACGTTCATTGAATGGTCGGATTGTGAACTTAGATATTTATCAGAATGAGTAGATTTTCTGTAAATTCTAATTTTAAATTCCCCTTCAGATGTTCCTCGAATAAGACAGTCTAAGAAATTCAAAGTTCTTGCAGTCGATTTGGTTTTATTCGTAAATTTTATGAAATTTGATATCTAGTCTAAATGTTGTAAAAAGCTTTCAAATTCTGTTTTCTTGGTGATCACAAAGGTATCATCTACATATCTATACCAAAGCTTAGGTCAACAGTGAGAACTACTTAAAGTTCTTTCTTTGAATGCTTTCATATGCAAAATGGTTACAGTCAGAAGTTTAATCACGTTTATTCTTGGCCGGTAAACTCATTTATTGGTAGACGTCGTAACAGGCGAATTGCAGTAAGCTCGTATAGAAGTGTGTGCAACAATTACAAATAAATTCTGAAAATCTATTCGGTATCTGAGTTAGACTATAATCAGTAGCATGGAGAATACCTATCAAATTCGCCGTCAGCTAAATAATACATTTCCAGTGGTGATGGTGTCTGGGATGATACTGATACGTTTATCAATCGAAACTTCACTTCAGTGAAGAAATCTTGCCAAAATCCCCACTTTCTCAATTACAAGTACTCACCACCGTTTCGAAATCTGTCACTCAGCCATATTTCAATTTCAAACACTAAATATTGTCTCTAACTAGAATATAAATGAAATATATGAAACTTACTGTTCCCGCATACCTACAAATGCCGTTTAACTAGACTATCTTGTCTCAATTCCAAATGAAATGACTGTTATATGAAGAGTAAATAATCATGAAGTAATTCCTAAGTCTACACACCAGTCCTGTTAATGTTATGAGTTTCGAGGGTTTTTCAGCTTGTTAACACACGTACACAAACCAAATTAAAAGTGTCTAGACTTTGTGATATACCAATTTGTAAGTTAACTATGTATTTATTGGTTTATCGAGGATCCTACTAGAGTATATTAACCTAATAGGCAAAGATCTCCTCACTATTTGAGATATTCTTTAACTTATAAACAAATGATCTGAAAAGTATTTTCAGATAGTGTCAATTCTCTTTCAAATGTGTTTATAAAATTATTCTTACTTCTTTATTTTGCAGCTGAATCATCCAAATGGAACCAATTCAATGAAATCGCAAACAATGACACTACGTGAATTAATGCAAGTTACACAGCACACTGTAAGTTGTTCGCTTTGCCTAAGTATTTTCTGTTGCACCACTGGATACATTTTACAACTCATATGTAAGCTGTTGAAAAGTTTAGGGGAAAATCTGTTTAAAAATTCAGATTTACAAAAGCAAATGCTATAAATATGAGAATATGGAACAGATTTAAGACTCTCTTCAGGTTCCAGTAAGAACTAGGACTTCTGAATAATGCGGAGAGAATAGGTTTTTCTTATAGAAAACTGGCCATCTAGATAAAATTATAACGAAGCAGTTGTGAAACAAGAAATTAATTTGCATGACACTTATAAAAGAGATGAGATGTGCTCACAAAGACACTAATTCATAAACAACGAAGATCAATCCAACAAACGTTTAGTTCATGGATGCTGCATGCAACACTTCCAGAAGTCCGAATTGTGATGATAAGGTTCACATTACCTTCATGATTACCAGCTATCCACCAACATGACAAAGCTGCTATATACTGAATCCTTCAAAGAGCAAAACTATTCGACTTATGCAGTTTAAATTATCAAATACAGTAATAAGTACTACCTCGGCAATTTTGGAGTCCAGAAATCCAAAAGCACCATATAACCCTTCAATTTTGAACATTTATACACCATCTGTACACATATATTCACTTATTGTTATTCTAAAATTTATTACATGCTTTCATTCAAGCTAACTTTATCTATCTCTTTGTGCGTTCACAAACAGTAATACTTATTGATGAGGATCTACATTACATTTCAGTTCTTTTCCATTCATGCCAATTTTTTTGAGTATGAATTTCATTATTGCACCTAAAAAAATTCATCTTAAAGTTTTCAAAAAATAAACTCAATCACTGTTTAATTATACACATCAGAATTCCAGTTAGTTAAGCAACCGTGAAGTTTGTAGGATACATTCATATTCACAGTATTTTATCACTTTTTCGCTCACGTAAGAATAGGCTCGATTACTATTAAAAAAATAAACGAGACTGAACTGATTGGGAAGTTTCAGGGAACAAAATCATTAATTCAAACCAAGTTTAATAAATGTTTAAAACGTCAGACGGTCATCATGATTCAGTTGATAAATCTTAAAGGACAGTATTAAAGATTACTTAAGTATGAATTTAGGTTATTACTGAAATTGTGAAATTTGAGTTTAAATAATTTGATGTGGATGTTTTTGTGTATTTTATTGGTTTAAAGTCAGGACTCATCATGCAAGAAAATAAGTTGTAGAATTATTGAAAACATGGGAGCATTAGACAGCCATTTTATCCTAGTATGGGATAACGTGGCAGTATACACTCATAACACCGACAGCGAACGAACCCGCGGACTTTCAGGTCTCACAGCCAGCACATTACAATCGACTCATTGAGATGAAGCCCAGTGGTCCACAGTTCGCCATTTAGTGCGACGTTCATCAAATGTCATGGCTGAGTATTCATCCTTATATCCGACTTGGTTTGTCTCACTAGTCATGACATCTCGTAGGAAATTTTGCAAGTTTTTTCTCAAAGTTACCCATTGTTGAGCGCTGGACAAGAATTCCATTCAGAGGTTTGTGGTGACTTACTTATTGATTTCATGTTGGTATTTATTATGGGCTGACATTAGTTGAAAAACTGCTGCGAAGCTAATAGCACCGGATAGCTGTTTCAGCCTAGTATGGAAAACTAGAATCAGAAAATTCCATTATAGGGATTACACAAGAATTTGTTTAGTACAGAGTACAAAAGACTGAAACGAAAGCTGAAAAGAATTTACTTTGAAAAACAAAACCAATGATTGCGACAGCAATAGCAGTTTAAAAGGTTCCTATCAGGCTTACAAGTTTAGCTTAACTCTGCTGACTGCCACCATCTGTGTCAATCCAAGTAAACTAACGTTAATGTGTCTTGAAGTATTCTAGACGCAGATGAAATATCGGTGTTGCATACTGCATTCTTGATGCACCAGAGAAACTAACATTTACGGCCATCCTTTTCCGTGTTGTTTTACTTATTTTGGACACATTTCAAGAACAAACCAAAACTTTTTCTGATTCGATTCTTCAAGCTGAATTGACACTTACAACATGAGGTGAAATCCACAAACATCGAGAAGCTAATTTTCTAGCCAAAAACTAAATATCTCTTAGAAGCTGCAACTGTACTATTGAAACTTCTTAGACTTGCTGTAGTATACAGTTTTTACCAGATTTTCCCCCTCTCAAACTGTGCGGGCTAAGAGAAACAATGGCAGAAAAAGACATGTCCCATATTGTCTACATAATATATTGCATCACAAACGACAAACACTGTATCACAAAGAGTTACCATCTTAGATTTATTCGTCTACAAGAACATCAATGAGTATTGAAGCTCCACTATATATACTCCGTCAATGAAATCTATGTGGACAGTCACTTCAACTTGAAAAAGTGGAAATCTTAGATAAGAGAAATACAAAACAGAAAAATTTTAAAATTTTGGCACCAGCTTGAGTTGGTCAATAATTAGCATAGTAAAATTGACTTAGTTTGTCAACCAGCAATAAATAAAAGTAAAAATAAGAAGGTGAGAGTCCAGGTCACTAGAACGGATAAAAAAATGACGTCTGGAGAGAAGGATAATATAGCTGTAGAAACTGCGAAACTCAACTAAGGTCATCGTAATAGGTCATCAGCCCACTTAGGGGGAACTTGTCTCAGTCCACTTCTTTCTAACCTTTTAACTGATGGCAGTATCCGAATTGACCGTGAAAAAGTGAGGAATAAACCAACCACGTCAGCCCACACAAAAATTAGATGACTGAGAACTTAAACCAACTCCGTATCTCCAAGTGTTCTCAACAGATTAAACACCAGACAGTTATAAATCTGAGACATGAATATAAACTATATTCTGTGGTTTTGTTTTGTATTGAGTGAAATACCATCTCAGACGGTTGAATGCATTCTCAAAACTCAATTATCTCCTTGGTTGAATTTTAAGCTCGAGTCCTTTTGTCTAAACTTATTATTAAAGAAAGCAGACATGTAGTTTTGACAATGTTTCACAGTTGGTATTTTTAGGGTTCTTATGAAAACTGAGAAATTGAATTATGAGAACTTGCTTGATAAAATGTTTTCTTCGAATGAAATGTGCTTTTAATACACAAACGAATTTCACTACCATACATATATTGTGACTGATCACAGTGAGTTCACTGACTGTTTCAAAATTTAGTGAATGAATAATTTAAACTGACACCGATAGATGATCGCTTTTTTTCCCAAGAACATTATATTTGCAATGATTAACAGAATAGCCATCAGTAAATACAGCTAATAAAGTTAATTTTCAGGTAGTTAAGTTTAGGAGAATCTACCAAATACTGAAGCCGTTAAGTTGATATTTTCAGTGAAGTTCTCTCTATCCACCGTCTTATTCTTCTCTAGTGTTTCTATTTAATCATAATATTCCCTTTACTTGGCTTAAAAGCTTCATTTTTATAACTTTTTAAATACTGTACAGATATTATTAACGTGGAAAGCAGTTAATTTCCTTTGAAGTACAGTATGAAACCAAGCGGCTTTTGATCATATGAAAACCATTTAAAAGATAAGGAAAATCTATTAGCCTTAGTAATGAAGGAACGGCTCAACTTTAAAATGAGTATTATATCGATGAGACAGGCTAGTGTGTGTGAGTGAAACTATTTTCAACTCACTACTTATTGGTTTTCAAGATAGATGAAGATTCTGCTTCAGTATTTACGGCTGTATGAAGTAAGTGTTTATTAAACAGAATAACCTGGTGGTTAGTTTTTGGCTATCATGAATCAGTGATCCAAGAACAAGGAATTCTTCTCCGTAATAATGACCGAAAGTTTATGCAGTTTTGAATCAAAACAATCATGGCTTCTACCTCAAAAAAATTCAAGATGCGAGTTAGATTACTGTTTAACTAAAAAAATCAACATTCTAAAATGATATCCGGTTCGTATGTAGGAGTACACTGCTACTCATCAATGAAAACCATCACTCATATTTTCTTCTACACCTTTTGCAAGGGCTTTATAACTCATTTGGCCTATGACTTTATCAGTTCTCACAACTTCATACATTAAAAAATATACATCTACTATCTACACTGTAAGGCAATGTTTTAATCCATGGTTGCTGTTACTAAAGAGACGGTGACGACCACCCGTATCAGTCATGTTTCTTAGCCTCATACTAGTACATCAATTACTAGCGTGCAGCGTAATTTATTACAAACAGACAACCAGATACCTTTTTCGGCACTCAAAGTGATGTGCTTACGGTACTTGTCATTTGGAGACGATGGTAATTCTAACTTACTTTAATATAAAAATGTATTTCTTTGAGTTATCGACTCAATAAATGTAATCGGTTAAGTTGTAACCAAATTTTAACCGTGAATAAGTAAAAGGAAAACTTTTGTTTCATAAAATAAATGCTTTTCCTGATACCCATCAGCTGTAACAAACACCATTTCTACTAGATCAGGGTTACCAGCTAACAAGTGACCTCTTGAACTAATGAACCTAGCCACTTTGTTAGGCGAAACTTTGAACCATACGACTTAGAAATATAGCTAGTAGTACTCATATTCTGGTAAGTAAAATTAGTAAAGATTCTTGTTCTGACTAGGTCTTTCATTTGTGTCTAATTATTAGCAAATAGTTTCCATAAAATGCTGCAAACTTCTAGCTTTGGGTTTTGGTTGGCAAAACCTTCAATATCATGTGAGATACTGCCATCAGTTCATCAAAGCTTCACATGGAAGTGAGGTAGTTGGTTGTACAATGACTTCCCTGACAAACTACTTTGCCTGAGTGGTCACTTGATGAGTGTATTGGTGCATGCCGAACCCAACTGACAAATCATTTCTTTTCAGTCATGTTCTTTGTTAAATCTACTTAACTATAAGCAAACTCGTAATCTACTAATGTATCTTATTTTTATACCACCAAATATTTCTGCATTCTTTTATTTTTTCTCACCACGTAATGTGGTTG